CGCAGGGTGGTTACTCCCATAGTTAAGGATGATTTCTGCAGTGGAGTCCTTTTAGTAGAAGTCCAGGAATGAGAAGGTATCTCCTGTTGCCTCTTCGCGAGTAAATTGTACTTCTGGGAAGACCCCATTTAGACTCTGGTGCAGCCGTTCCACGTCACAAGTCTTTATGATGACGAATGTGTCAGCTATGTAGCCGAGCCACATTAACGGTTTGACCGCTTCCTCCTCTAGTCACTTTAAGACTAGTTCGGCAGTTGGGATGGCATCGAGGTGATCGCAATGGCTAATATGCGACAAGCGAGAGAATTCCTTGAAGCTTGGCACTCGAGCCCGGCCAGTATTAACAGACATGTAAAGCTTGATTCACACTATGCCGACTTCCGCGCATGGTCCACTAACCTGCGCCCAGCCTGAAACAACAGCAGGCCGTCTGTGCTCGTTAAAGTAGAACTTCACTGAGTCTACACCCCCTTTACCCGGAACACGTGGCCCACAATCCAAACGTTAACACCTCCCCCCTTACCTGCACAACCTATCGCCGCAGAATTCACGTCACCGTAACCCTCCACCCAACGCCATCCCCGCTCGTTGTAACCTCTGCCCCCAAAGCCTCTAGTGAGAAATTCCCAACCCCCACTTTTCATTTAGTCTGACGACGAACAATTGCTACCTGTTCGAAAATTTACGGGTACAACTCGATTTTCATTATAACGACAGTGCCCACATTTGCTTTTAGTCATACCGATCTTATTCTGTCAGTAGAACATAACATATTGATGGCCGTTTACGACGACATCCGACATTTCAACCGTCGGTTTCGAATATGTTCACCGTATACTCCACGACAGGATAGTGCACAGACGGTGACACGCGTGTGAATTAGTTTTAAGTGAAAATAGGCTTGCACCGCACCTTCCGCACCCTTCGTTCGCTCATCCACATATGACCGGTGTCAACACAGCCAAGAAGACCGGAGGTGGGATCGGGCGCAGGCGGCTAGCGCGGCCGAAGCCACCTCTACTTGTGCCACAAGGCCCCTTGTGTTCGACAACTGTTATGGAAGTGTAAGCAGAATAATGCCTGCCATATCTTGATTTGGCCCGCGTTTGTCCACCACCGTGTAGACCACAGCTGGAAGGAGGCAGGAACGGTAACTCAAGTGTCAATAAGTTTAAAGTGATACTAGACTGGCGCGGCACCTACAACACTGTCTTCTCGTCATCCAATTATGTCCAACTTCAGGACATTCAATGAAACCGGAGGCGGGATCA